CTCGGGGACGCCCCCTTGTGGCAAACGTCCAGCCAGCATGCCGCACGCCAGCTCAGGGCTCAGGCTGATGGGACAGACTGGGCTCTCTAGGTTCAGCCTCGGAAAAACTCAGGAAAGTTCTGCCCATGAGCCTGGTTGATTCAAGGAAGAAACTCCAAGTGACAGCCTGATCCCGTCCCAAGCGTTTATTGAGATTTACAGTCGCCTGCGGCATACCCTCCAGCACAGACATTCGAAGTGCCGTTGACTGGGGCAGAGGTTTGAGTTTACATAAGGGGTTGAAGAATGTTGGCTCAGGGCTCAATTTGTTTTTAAAAGGACTTCCTGGGGAACAACCTAAATGACTGTTAGTTCCTGAGACTAGTTAAAGAATTAGGTTTAGGCATGCTGGGGAAAGTGCAGCAATGGTCACACATCAGTAGATGTAGTGTATGATTTTGGTCAGGACACACAAAGAAAATGGGAGGGAGGAGGAAGGTGGCATCAGGGCACCTCACAAAAAACCTGAAGCCTCAGCAGTCTGCTTCATAAATCATATCCTTGGCAGACATTAGTAAACAAACAGAACTCTTGTTAAGCCAAGAGGAGCCGCCATAATTCTGAAGAAAGTACCAGAGGCTTCAATGAAAACCAGTAATGTGAATAATTGGCATTGACAAATGGTAACATGCATCTGTCATATCACTTCTCAGTTCCCTGTTTCCATAGGAAATGTAGTGTGTGTGTGCTGAAGTAGCCTGACTGCACCATCTGTGAATCCATGCCCTTTAAAGGTGCTGAAACCTACCCATCCATTTTCCAACTGTTGACAAACTTATAAGTTCTGATGTCAGGAAGTTACCAGGATGTCTGAAACACATTAGAACTGAACTTGACCTGATAATGCCTGGCACATGGGAGAGTATTGAGGGATTGAGATGAAGGGAATAAAGAGTTCTGAAGTTCACTTGTGATAAACAGAAGATGACTATGCAAGACGTCTTGAACTGTAAGTCACCTAGAGAGCGCATTCCTGGAATGTTGGCTTAGGAGCTTCTAATTCACCTTTTCTCCTGATACATGTAGCTGCTGAAGGGCTAACATTGGACCTTTCGTATGTGAGGCAATCACTCCACTATTGTTTGATGTTGAGTTGTAGGTGCTGCAGCAGAGAGAGAAGTTCACCAGAATGCTAAGCCTTCATTTTTCCAAAGGAGAAAAATGGTACAGCCTTCTTGGAAAAGGCTGACACCTGGCTAGTTCACTCTAGGTACTTTATTCAAACAATTACAAGCTTAATTGGGGCTGAAAAGGTTTCCAATTACCAAAGTCATCTTGCTCTTGCTGCCTATGACAGCAGACAATCCACACACATCTCAGCCCTTTTTGATTATGGCTTGTCAGGTCTGTCAGGAGTGTCTTAGGACTAATGTCAACACAGTTGCAAGCTCTTACATAACAGCAAGTACAGACTCTCCAGAGAAACAGTTCTTCAAGTTTAAACAGTCTCAAAACAATTTTTCAGCCTCTACTGATGATCTCAAACATAGCAAAGGCTTTGCTGAAACATTTCTCTCAAAGCCAAAGGCTTTACTGTACATTTCACTTAAAGCTAGACATAAAGGCTTCACATACACACTCCATCATTGAGCTAAATCCTTAGCCAAGGTAGCTGGTGTTTTCACATAGGCAATTCTGATGGAGGCTGTCCACTGACTGCTGGTTAAGAAAAGCTAAAATCAAGGACTAGTAGCTTTAGGGACAAGGGCTCAACTAACTTTTTATAATAATCAACTTTATCTTGGTCTCAGAGCTTTGTATATGCTGGATAAATACTCTATGGCTAATATATATATATATATATATATATATATATATATATATATATGCAGCTCTTATTTTGTTTGCTTGCTTCCTTTTCTGATATTAATGACCGAGCCTGGGGCCTCACACAAACTGGGTGGGCACTCTACCTTTGAACTACGTCCTAACTAAACTATCATGTTGTATAAACTGCTTCATTCCTGTTCCATGCTTCAGTTCCCTTATCTGTAAACTGGGGGCAGGAGTGAAAGTATCCCAGCCTTCTAGGCTCAAGGTATAGTCCATGAATTCATCAGTGTGAGCTGCCTAGTCTGCTACTGGTACAGAGATAAGCTTTGTATTTCAACATCCTTGTCTTTCCTCAGGAATTTACTTTTTCTTTTCCTGGTAAGAATGAATTCAGGGAGTCGCTCGGTGGAGGTGAAGATGCTGTCACCAGGGTCAGGCCGTAGAGAAGATGCAAAGCTGGAGTCATGTGTACTGCTTCTTGGCCAAGAGAGGCCATTTCAGTTGGATATCTCCTGGCCTACAAGGAGTTTCTTCAGTGCCTTTAAGAACTTATGCAGATCAACCAATTGATGCTGATGTGACAGTGATTGGTTCTGTCCCTGGAGGATATGTTGCTGCCAACAAAGCTGCCCAATTAGGCTTTAGGACAGTCCACATTGAGAAGAATGAAACACTAGGTGGAACATGTTTGAATGTGGGTTGTATTCCTTCAAAGGCTTTATTGAATAACTCTCATTATTACCATCTGGCCCTTGGAAAAGATTTTGCCTCTAGGGGAATTGAACTGCCAGAAGTTTGCTTGAATTTAGAGAAGATGATGGAGCAGTACAGTTCTGCAGTAAAAGCATTAACAGGGGGAATTGCCCACTTATTCAAACAGAATAAGGTTGTTCATGTCAATGGATTTGGAAAGATAACTGGCAAAAATCAGGTCACAGCTACAAAAGCCAGTGGAAGCTCTCAGGTTATTGGTACAAAAAAATCCTTATAGCTATGGGTTCAGAGGTCACTCCTTTTCCTGGAATCACGATTGATCAAGATACTATAGTATCATCTACAGGAGCTTTATCCTTAAAAAAAGTTCCAGAGAAGTTGGTTGTTATCGGTGCAGGAGTAATTGGTGTAGAATTGGGTTCAGTTTGGCAAAGACTTGGTGCAGATGTGACAGCAGTTGAATTTCTAGGTGACGTGGGTGGAATTGGAATTGATATGGAGATATCTAAAAATTTTCAGTGCATACTACAAAAGCAAGGCTTTAAATTTAAACTGAATACAAAAGTTAATGGTGCCACCAAGAGATTAGATAGGAAAATTGATGTGTCTGTTGAAGCTGCTTCTGGTGGAAGGCTGAAGTTATCACCTGTGATGTGCTCTTGGTTTGCATCGGTCAATGGCTCTTTACTCAGAATTTGGGACTAGAAGAACTTGTAATTGAACTAGATCCCAGAGGTAGAATTCTAGTTAATACCAGATTACAAACTAAAATTCCAAATATCTATGCTATTGGGGATGTGGTTCCTGGCCCAATGTTGGCTCACAAATCAGAAGATGAAGGCATCATCTGTGTTAAAGGAATGGTTGGCGATGCTGTGCACATTGACTATAATTGTGTGCCATCAGTGATTTACACACACCCCGAGGTTGCTTGGGTTGGCAAATCGGAAGAGCAATTGAAAGAAGAGGGTATTGAGTACAAAGTTGGTAAATTCCCATTTGCTGCAAACAGCAGAGCAAAAACAAATGCTGACGCCCTGCTCTTACCCAACTCCCTTCCAAAGCCCCATCCACCCCGATCTCCCCGGGCCTGTTTCTGCTTGGGGTAGACCTGCCCAGGCAGTGAGGAACTCCCTGAGCCTGGAAACACCCCACTCTTCTTTCCTGCCCCCCCCAATTGACCCCTATGGAGGCCTAACTCCTTCAGAGTGAGGAGACTACCAGGAGAGGCAAGACCATTCAGAGCTGCGCACATTGAACTCCTGGCCCCCACACAACACTGGGTGACAAGAGGAGATAGAGAGACCCCTCCTGCACTCACTGGACGAAGATATGGGAAGAAGACAGAATAAGAACTCATTCAACAGAAAGACCAATATGACACCACCAGAATCTAGGGACTCCACTCCAGCAAGATGTGAAAAGCCCAACATAGTGCATGAAGAAGAGATGGACCTCAAAAATTATCTCAGCAAGATGATAGAGACCTTTAAAGAAGAAATAAGAAAATCTTAAAGAAATAGAAGAAAAAGCAAACAAAAAATTACATGAAATGGAGGAAAAGACAAACCATAAAATTCAAGAAATAAACAAATTTCTTAAAGAATCTAAAGAAACCCAAGGAAAAACAACCAAACAAGTGAAGGAAATGTTTCAAACAGTTCACGGTATGAAAGCACAATAGACACAATAAAGAAAACACAGAATGAGGGCATGCTGGAAATGGAAAGACTGGATAAGACAGGATTCAAGAGATGGAAGAGAGAATCTCAGCCACTGAAGACTCGCTAGAGGATATACATTCATCCACCAAAGAGAACCTCAAGTCCAACAAAACCCTAACACAAAATATCCAGGAAATATGGGACACTGTAAAAAGGCCAAACCTAAGAATAATAGGTGTAGAAGAAGGTGAAGAAACACTGCTCAAAGGTACAGAAAACATATTCAACAAAATCATAGAAGAAAACTTCCCCAACCTACAGAAGGATATGCCTATGAAAGTACAAGAAGCTTACAGGACACCAAACAGACTGGACCACAAAAAGAAGTCTCCCCCACCCCTGACACATAATAATCAAAACACCAAATCTACAGAATAAAGAAAAAATATTAAGAGCAGCAAAGGAAAAAGGCCAAGTAACATATAAAGGCAAACCAATCAGAATCACACCCGACTTCTCAATGGAAACTCTGAAAGCCAGAAGGTCTTGGATAGATACCCTACAAGCACTAAGGGAGCATGGATGTCAACCCAGACTACTGTACCCAGCAAAACTTTCAATCACTATAGATGGAGAAAACAAGATATTCCATGACAAAAACAGATTTAAACAATACATATCCACAAATCCAGCACTACAGAAGGTTCTGGAAGGAAAACTCCAACCCAACGAACATAACTACACTCACAAAAATATTGGCAATAAATAATCTAATTTTACCAAACACAAATAGAAGCAGGAGGGTGAAATCCACACACAATGACACCACCAACAATAAATCCAAAACAAAGAAGAACCAATGAACAATGGACATTAATATCCCTAAATGTCAATGGTCTTAACTTACCCACAAAAAGATATAGGCTAACAAAATGGATATGAAGACAGAATCCATGGTTCTGCTATTTACATGAAACACACCTCAACTACAAAGACAGGTGATCCCTCAGAGTAAAAGGATGGGAAAAAATTTTCCAATCAAATGGGCTAAAGAAACAAGCTGGTGTAGCAATCCTAATATCTAACAAAATGGACTTTAAACTAAAATCAATCAAAAGAGATGAAGAAGGGCATTTTATACTCATCACAGGAAAAGTCCATCAAGATGAAATCTCAATCCTGAACATCTATGCTCCAAATAAGAAGGCACCCACATTTGTGAAAGAAACATTACTAAAGCTCAAACCACACATAAAACCACACACACTTATAGTAGGAGACTTCAACAACCCCCTTAAAACAAAGGATCTGACAGAAGTTATGACCCAACTGGGGTTAACGGATATAGAGCATTCCATCCAAACTCAAAAGAATGTACCTTCTTCTCAGGGCCACATGGCACCTTCTCTAAAATTGACCACATAGTGGGCAGCAAAGCAAACCTCCATAGTTAG